CAGCAAAAAGAAAATCGAGTTCCTCAAGCAGGCGCAGAACATCACAGAGGAGGGTGTACCAGAAATAAAGCTACTCGTGCGGGATCGTGTAAGTATTGCCATATATAAACCCTTATGGATTCTTTAAAACGTGCTCTCTCCACAGAATGATAAGGATCAGGCCAACTTTGAGAAACTCATTACGACCATAAAGAACTCAAAGAAGGGCAAACGCCTGGGCGTTTTCACCAAGGATGCGTTCCCGGGCGAGTTTAGCGAAGCCTGGAAAAAGATGCTCACGGCCGCCAAGTTTGAGCATGTGGATATCAGCACCATAATTGCGTATCTGATGTGTCCCAAGGATGAGGCGGAGATCAATAATATACGTAAGGCCTCGTTGGTGTCCATGGACATATTCAACAAATATCTAAAGGATGAAATCATGGACATCATCGACTCGGATAGAGTAAGCCCGTAGCTATAGAAAGTTGTACATCATTTAAACTTGTTTATTTTTTGCAGAAAGTGAAGCACACGAAGCTCGCGGACGGCTGCGAGGCAGCTATTGGCGAGAAGAAGTACACGAGCGGCCTGGATCCACGATTGCTTGACATGGCCTATCCGCCTATCATACAGTCCGGCGGCGCATACAGTTTGAAATTCTCGGCAGCTGCTGATAAGAATCATTTGCATTTTGGGGTGATTGTGTGCTCGCTGGGCGCGCGCTACAAATCCTACTGCTCCAATATTTCGCGCACATTTCTGGTTAATCCCACGGAGGCCATGCAGGAGAATTACACGTTTCTGGTAAATGTGCAGGAAGAAATACTCAAGCTGCTGGTGCCGAACGCCAAGCTCTGCGAAGTGTATGATAAAACGCTGGCCTATGTGAAAAAGGAAAAGCCCAGCATGGTCGAGAATCTAACCAAAAGCTTTGGCTTTGCCATGGGCTTGGAATTCCGAGAGAATTCAATTGTCATTGGACCCAAATGCCAGGCGCTTATCAAGAAGAATATGGTCTTCAATCTGCACGTGGGCATCTCGAATTTAACCAATCCCGATGCCGCCGACAAAGAGGGCAAAACCTACGCCCTATTCATAGGCGACACGGTGCTGGTGGGCGATCAGGGTCCGGCCAGTGTGATGACGCCATCCAAGAAGAAGATCAAAAACGTCGGCATATTCATTAAAGATGACGACGATGAGGAGGAGGATGCGGACGACAAGAAGCCCACCAAAACCGATCAGAGCACTGAGATTTTGGGTCGCAGCAAACGCAACGCTGTGCTCGAGTCCAAGCTGCGCAATGAGATCAACACGGAGGAGAAGCGCAAGGAGCATCAGCGTGAACTCGCGCAGCAGCTAAACGAACGGGCACGCGAACGTCTCGCCAAGCAGGGCAACTCCAAGGAGGTGGAGAAAGTGCGCAAGAACACCGTCTCCTACAAGTCCATGAGCCAAATACCGCGCGAGCCGGAGGTCAAGGAGCTAAAACTCTATGTGGACAAGAAATATGAGACGGTCATAATGCCAGTGTTTGGCATACAGGTGCCCTTCCACATTTCCACCATCAAGAATATATCTCAGTCCGTGGAGGGCGAGTACACGTATCTGCGTATCAATTTCTTTCATCCGGGCGCCACCATGGGACGCAACGAGGGCGGACTCTATCCACAGCCGGAGGCGACCTTTGTCAAGGAGGTGTAAGTAGACAATTCCCTTATTTATATACCTCATTTATTAATATTTAATTTGCAATTTGCAGTACCTATCGCAGCTCGAACGTTAAGGAGCACGGCGAGGTGGCGGCGCCATCTGCCAATCTGAACAATGCGTTCCGCCTAATTAAAGAGGTGCAAAAACGTTTTAAGACCCGCGAAGCTGAGGAGCGTGAGAAGGAGGATTTGGTTAAACAGGATACGCTGATATTGTCGCAAAACAAGGGCAATCCCAAGCTGAAGGATCTGTACATTCGACCCAATATTGTGACGAAGCGCATGACTGGCAGCCTGGAGGCGCACACCAATGGCTTCCGCTACATCTCTGTGCGCGGCGACAAAGTGGACATTCTCTACAACAACATCAAGAGCGCATTCTTTCAGCCCTGCGATGGTGAAATGATTATACTGCTGCACTTTCATCTCAAATACGCGATTATGTTTGGCAAAAAGAAGCATGTGGATGTTCAATTCTACACGGAAGTGGGCGAAATAACCACAGATCTGGGCAAACATCAGCATATGCACGATCGCGACGATTTGGCTGCCGAGCAGGCGGAACGCGAGCTGCGCCATAAACTGAAGACGGCGTTTAAGAGCTTCTGCGAGAAGGTCGAGGCCATGACCAAGGCGCAGGTCGAGTTCGATACGCCCTTCCGTGAGCTTGGTTTCCCCGGAGCGCCATTCCGCAGCACGGTTACACTGCAGCCGACATCCGGCTCGCTGGTCAATCTAACCGAGTGGCCGCCATTTGTCATCACGCTGGACGATGTGGAGTTGGTGCACTTTGAGCGCGTGCAGTTCCATTTGCGCAACTTTGACATGATCTTTGTGTTTAAGGAGTACAACAAGAAGGTGGCCATGGTCAATGCCATACCCATGAACATGCTGGATCACGTCAAGGAGTGGTTAAAGTAAGTAGCCTTCTTATCGATTGCTTTCATGTTCTTAACCAAAATCCGTTTTTGCAGCTCCTGCGACATACGCTATTCGGAGGGCGTGCAATCGCTCAACTGGCAGAAGATTATGAAGACAATTACCGATGATCCCGAAGGCTTCTTCGAGCAGGGCGGCTGGACATTCTTGGATCCCGAATCGGGCAGCGAGGATGAAAACGAATCAGCCGAGTCGGAGGAGGATGAGGCCTATAATCCAACAGATGCCGAGTCGGATGATGAAACCGATGAAGATGATTCCGAGTACTCGGAGGCCTCTGAGGATGAAAGCGACGACAGCGATGGTAATGCCACACAAAATAGTTTAAAAATTTCATTTACCCAAACTTTTGTGCGCTGCAGAGTTGGGCTCCGATGAGGAATCTGGCAAGGACTGGTCGGATCTGGAGCGCGAGGCCGCCGAAGAGGATCGCAACAATGATTACGCTACCGATGATAAGCGCAATGGCAAATTCGAGTCGAAGAAGCATAGCAAGAGCTCAAAGCACAGGTATGCAGAGTGCAGATGAGTGCACCCGTAATATATAGATCACGATTTTTTGTAGTTCTTAATCCTACTGAGCGTATCCTCTCTCTTCTCTATTTATTTAATTAATACTTATTCCGCATCACGCACACAAAACAGTCGTCGCGAGCGTGAGGAGCAGCGATCGTCGCACAGTAAAAAGCATAAGTCGAATTCCTCCTCTTCTTCACATTTAAAATCCTCCAGCTCCAAACATGGCAGCTCATCTAGGTTTGTTACCGTAATCACAGCACAAACACACACACACACACACACACACACACACCCATACACACACACACACACATCCACAACAAATACTCTCATATTTAACAAAAAACTATCAGAAATTTGTTCGAAATTTAATTTTTGGAATTTATTTATGAAGTAATCAAATTAATTATTAATATTAACTAGAACAGAGACTTTGTCAGCATATAATGACGTTCCTTTTGTACAATGTACCAAAAGACTTGATTTTGGGAACGAATATGAACTGAAAGAACGATCTATAAATTTGCCTGAAGGCTTTCTCTATTGAGAGATACATTTGTAATGAAAACGAAAGATCGACTTGACTGTTGAAGCTTGGGATTGGGATAGAAAAGCAGTTAAGCTTAGATCAGTTAAATCTTTTGACTTGGCAATGGAACAGATATGTATAAGAAAAAAAGACATTTGTTAAGCTTATTTAAAAATTAGATTTCATTGAAAGGAATACTGCTAACTGAATATATCTCCATATTCTCCAATAAGTAAAGCCTATAGAAAAAAAATTCTGGACTGTATTTTAAATGTTATTCTCTTTTTACTGACTGAACGCTATTTTAATAGATTGCTAACATTTTAATTCTCTATATCTAGTAAAACCATAAAAAAATACTTCATAAATTATGAGAAATTCTGCTCAAAATTTGACACACATTTCCCTTAATTGTTAAACTTCAATTTATTTTGAAATGCTTGAATTAATTGATTTATCAACTTGTCTTTTTTAAAGCCCAACGAAATCGTCTAAGGATAAGTATCATAATCGCGATAAGCATCATTCCTCCTCATCGTCGGGACACAAAAACAGCAGCAAGGATAAGGATCGCAAGCGCTCACGAGAAGACAGTCGAGACAATGGCCACAAATCGAAGAAGTCGAAGCATTAAGGATAAAACACAGCTTACAGTAGTTACAATAGCACAGGAACACAAACACAAAACACTACACAACACAACACAACACAACACACACACACACACACACATGCAAAATATACCTTAACCTTAGGTTAATATTTTACTGTCACACATCTGTACATTTTGGCATTGTATTGCTCGACACGCATACACACAAAGAAACACACACACTATTACAATATAAAAACCGTGTCCCCGTATATAAACCACATTGTATTTCACTGTTGAACCTATGTCACCCAAAACCTCTACAATCTTTTTTCCCTTTACATCATTTATGAATGTTGTATTACAAATTAAATAATTTAAAATACGTATATATTATTGACAAATTGTTTTTAGTGCATTTTTTTAATGTAAACTATATTTTAAGCTGGCCGTCTAGGGTTCAATGTTGGTTAAAGTAATCAGGACCAAAAGGTATATAAGCTTCAAAATGTGAACAGCTTGTCTGTATAGATATCTTAAGACCTCCTTTTTATTAATTATCAGATAATTCCTTTTTGTATATCTGTTTAAACACACAAAAAAGGTAGCTCTGTTATATTTTCGTTACTTATAATTCTCAACTAGTTAAAGCTAGTCAAGTGTACTGCTTTCTACTCCTTAAGCCTGCCAGCTTAAAATTTAGTATATTTATTATTATGTATTCCGACTACTTGCTCCAGCTGCCCAGCAGATAGCGATAGGCGTGCACCTCGTTGCTGTCACGCCGACGACCCGACCTCAGCTGCTCGTGCTGCTGCTCCCGCCGTTGTTGCTGGTGAGGATTGGGACTGCTTGCAGCAGCTGCGACGGTGGCACGCCTTCTCGTCGCATCGAACATGTTGCGCGTCTTGTTGATGGGATAGCGCATCTTGTTTTTCAGCCAGGTGGTAAATGCACGCTCGTTATCCTGCAGCTTCTTCAGCTCGTGCTCGTTCCGATTCAGCGTCTGCTCCATGGCGAAGCGCTGCTTGCGACGCAGCTGCTGATCCCGTTGCTGCAGCTGTTTCGCGCTCAGCCCATACTCGGACATGTAGCCAGTGTAGCGGGGCAGCTTCTCCTGCAGCGCATGCCGATGCTCGCAGCAGATTTTATAATTCATTTTGATGTCCGGCGTCGGAGCAACTGGCGCACTGGGCGTGGCTCTGGCGCGCCGCCTAAAGCTAAAACGGCGGGCATTGAAGAAGGTCTTGGTGCTGGTGCTCCTGCCCGTTTTGTTGTTGTTGTTGTTGTGCGTTTGCGCTGCCTCGTCTTCCTTTTTGTAGTAAATGCTGCGCTCGTCCAGCTCGAAATCGTCCGGTATATAGCTGGCCACAATGATGGACAAGTCATCCTCCTCCACATCCCCGTTGTCCTGGCCAGTCAATCTATTTATTTGCGCCTGTCCCTTGGCATCCAGCGTTTTGTATAGACTCTTGTAGGCCTGGCGCAATTTGATGCGCGCCTCGTTCACGACGCGCTCGTCCTCCTCGCAGTCGGACTCGGTGAGCAGATTGGTCAGACTGCGCTGATCCGAGTCTGGCATTTCTTCAGCGTTCAAGTCGAATGTGTTCTGGCGAGCTATGCGATGCTTTTGGATGTCGGCGGTAAGCGTTTCGCTGGCAGCCTGAAGATCATCTTCATCCACTCCCGAAAAGTTATCCTCCTCGTAGTCCATGCTGGCCGGGATTTGGCTCGCTTCTGGCTGCTTGCTGCTGCTGTTTTCCATTTCGTTGAGCTCCAGGATTTCTTCGCATATATCCTCCTCCACTTCTGGCTCCGCCTGAGCTGCTCTCGCCAGCTCTTGGGTCGGCTCCTGGGACGGCTCCTCCTCTTCTATGGCCTCAAAGCGCTCGCCACGCTCGGTTCTAAGCTTCAGCTGTGCCAACTGCTGCAGCAGCTCGGATGGCGGACTGGTTACCTCATCCTGCTGCTGCTGCTGCGCTGTCGTCGGCTCGTAATCCTCCAGATTGAGCGCAAATGTGACCTTGCGGCTGCTGCTATTGGGATTATCTGGGCACGTGCCCGCCTCTTCCTCATCGTAGAGCGCAAATAGCTGCTTGTTGGCCTCCTTAATCTTGTCCACGATGTTGTACTCGTTGACGGGCTTCAGGACTGCATCGTAATCCAGCAAAAGCGGCATGTGAATGACATTTAAACACGACAACGGGCAAACTACTTACAGTAAACTTCGCAATCCTCGTCCGACTCCGCCTCCGGCTCATACATCTCTGCTGCGTATTTTGCGTTGATTATTTTTAGACTGGATTTATGTGCGTTAGGCGGCAAAACTTTCCATTTCGTGCCATTGAACGCTTGGAACTCGCCAGCAACAGACAGGAACCCATTGACGGCAGCAAGAACTGTGACAAGGGGCCCATTGAAGGGTCTAATGAACTTGGGAATATGCCCAGCCACCTCCTGTTGCGGTTATGGTTTTATGCATATCCTGTCTCTGTTTCGTTGGCGCCGTTGCCAGGCCCCGGCCAGGCCAGCTTTGTGTGCCGGCGCTTGGCGCTGTTTGGTCGATGCCTGGTGACAATTTGTTTTACCCGCAAGACAACAACAAGAGGGATCTATAGTCGGACTGGTAGATACCCTGTACCAAGGATAACATAACTCAGGCACGCGATCTTCAGTTTTAAATCTCTTTTATGTTTAGATTCTGATATTGAAGATATTTTCGGCTCTCCAGAAGTTTTAGGATTGTAGGATTGTAGCTCTTAAAATTTTTGAAATATTTTCACGCTTGATATTTATCGATTTCTAGTTCTCGAATCTGCCTTCCAGCAGTTCTTTGTTCGGATCGCAGCTCTTTTAACCTTCTAGATTTTTTCCAAATTGATATTTATCGAATTCTCGTTCTCAAATCGAGTTTCCAGCAGTTCTTATATACGAAATTTAAGGATTGTAGCTCTTATAATCTTCGAGATATTTTCAAAATAAACATTTATCGATTTCTAGTTCTCTCTTACATACAAAGTTATAAGATTGTAGCTTCTTTAATCTCCTAGTATATTCCCAATTGATATTTATCGATTATATTATAACTTATATATCAAAGTAGATCAAGCTCTCAAATACCCTGGCATCTGCACGTTTGTAGAGACCGAAATTCGAAGATCTTTCGGCTGTCGATTCTGATCAAGAGTACACATACTTACGCTGTCTTCTCTTCCCTGTTACATACATCGCCATCATTACAATATACCCCTTTGCTAACCACACTCAATGACAGGGTATTATAATAATAGATGGTTTTCTCTGGTAGTTTTATGCACTTTATTTCATTTGGCTTACTTGGCTAACCACATTTAAAGCTTAATCGTTATTCATCGAATTCAAAGTCAAAGTCGAGCTACGTTTAATACAAAACATAAACTACAAAAATACACAATAGCAATATAATATAAGTACACATCATATATGTACCATATACATATCTATATATAGAGCCTTTCTTTCCATCAATTCTTTCAGTGTATTGAGCAACATACGAGTCAATGCCTTTGATTTGTCATTATCCTTGCCAATCATATTTAATATAAGTAACTAAATCTAGAAACAACCCAACCAACACGGTGCCTAGTTGTACGATCCATGCGATAGCGCTATGATTAATGGGGAAACATTTTTGGGAATTTCAGAAATCTTTTGTTTTTGTCTTGTTTGTAGCAACTTTCTTTAATTAACTGAACAGATATGTACAGCAAATGATAAAAAAGCGAGTAGTTAGATAAAATATTTCTTTTTCAGTTAAGTTAACTGCGGCGTGTGCGAAATATTACGGACATAAAAAGCTTACGTATTATCACATGTACTTAAATCATTTTGTGGGCACTGATAGCAAAAATTATGCAAGCTAAAAAGTTTAATTAAATCAAAAGGTATCTATATAAAATATAGCAGCTATTAAATTGTAGCTAGATCATAATCGGAATCGGCTTGGAGACCTCTTAAGTTTCTCTTCAAGAGGTTCGAGCCTGAAACTGCGTGCGAAGAGGCACGACTTTTAGCCTACTATGGTAAATAATTCATATCAAAAACATAAAAAACTTGGTTGAATATAATTTTTAAATTTGTCTTCGCGGGAGTACAATACCTAAACTTCATGCTCAGTTTGAAGACTTTTGGCCTACTAAATAGTTAAAATCAAGATCATAAAATGATATATTAAACTTGTTCAAAGTCCTCTTAAATTTTTTGTTCGATCCTCAAACTTCCTACTCTGTTTGACGACTCTTTGCCGACCATGCTAGTTAATTATAATGAAAATCATAGAATAATATATTAAACTCGGGTAAGAGTCCTCTTGAGTTTCTCTAAACGGAGGTTCGATCCTTAAACTTCATGCTCAGTTTGAAGACTTTTAGCCTACTAAATAGTTAAAATCAAGATCATAAAATGATATATTCAACGAAATTTTGGGGTCTTTTATATTTGTCCTTGAGGGGTTCGATCTTTGTGATTAGAGTGACGACTCTTAGCCCATAATACTAGTTAATTATAATGAAAATCGTGAAATGATTTATTTAACCTGGGTTAGTGTCCTCTCTAGTTTGTCTTCTCGGGCATTCAATCTCTCAACTTCCATGCCTAAGTTGATGCCTTCACCACGAAAACTCTTTATCCGACCCATATTTAGCACATAGCTGAGCATTATCTTAAATCCAATTAGTTTACTTCTATATGTTTTTTGGCATACAAATATGAGCGATATTCAATGTATGGTAATCCAATTAGGTTTACTTCTCTTCGTTTTGTTTTCCAGGAATAAATAAACTGTGCGGTTCGCAGTTGACGTTTACGCACAAATCAAATCGAAATAAATCGCTTTGTTAGCCAAAAATAAAACAAAATCAAAATTGATAAAATCTCAAAAAATGATATAATTTGCATTTAAAAAATAAACCAACAATAAATGAAAGTAAATACAAAAGTCGAAAGCAAAAGCTCGCTTAAAATTTAGTGTACAAAATTTTGAGTATAATGCAAAAGTTGTTGCATTACAAATGTGTGCCTAAGTACTGAATTTAACCACATCGAATTTGTTTATTTAGTTTTAGTTTTTTTTTTTTTTAAAGAACTTTACAACCTTATTCAGCATTCTTAAAAAAAAAAATAGAGCATTAAAAACTAAAATGCGGAATTAAAAAAAGATTTTCAAAAAATTTCTTTAGCTATTTATGTGAGATGTCCGATGAGTTGTCTGTTGGATGTGTGTGTGTGTGTGTGTGTATAATTTCATTAGAGGACGGTTAGAATTGGTTAGGGTAGAAAATATTAGGGCATTAATTTTATAGCTATATAAAACGTACATATTGCAATATCAGCGCATTTTTTTTTGTTTTTTTACTTATATCACTAATCGATTTCTTTTGGTTTTATTTTTTAAGATTTCTCATGACAGTTTGGTAAATAATAATATTTACTGTACTATATATATACGTATATATAAACTAGGTAAGTTGCGTCCCGGACAGACGCTTACTAATCATATACATATCAATTGATTTATATATAGATTCGTGTGTTCGAAAATCGTAAAACATTTCGCTTTATGTTCTTTTTATTTTTGTTTTTTTTTGGTGCAATTAAATTTCAATAAATTACAGTTTAAATTTTTTGTTATGTTTTTAACACTAACGCGCGCTCAACATTTAGCATCATATAAAAAGTCTTTCGTTTTTGTTGTTGTTGTTGTTGTTATTTTAAATAAAGTTCGAATGTGTGTGTGAGAGTGTTATCATACGTATCCTTTGCACGTTTGAGCAGTGTTGCCAAATGTTTATTGAATAAAGTAGCTGAAACCAGTGTTGAAATAGCTCAAAGATAGCTAAATTAGCTTTTCGAGTAAATATTGGCTAGCTCTTGTCCTTGAGTGGCCGAAAAATAGCTAAATCAGTTTGAAGCTTCAGCTGTTTAGGGCTGATGACTTACGAAAATAAGCTAATTCAGCTAGAAAGCAGCTAAATTGGCAACACTGCCTTTGAGGGTATACCAAACGTTTTTGAGTATATTATAAGAAAACATTAATTTAGAAAAAATACATACATTAAGGCTAGGATTCGAATTGGAGTTTTTGTCTAGGTTTTGTTTCTTTTTATCATTTTTCCATTGAAATTCGTTCAAGACACACATAAAACACAAGACTTCTGAGTTAATTACCATATATAGAAAATAATTGTATATATAAATATATGTATATAGACAGAGGGTAGGGGGCCAGGGGCGTATTGCTGATACAAATTGGATCAACCAATGCGACATACATTTACATAAAATATATATGTATATTTATATAAATATATATATATATTGTGTGTGTGCTTATGTAAACAAAGGTAAGTGGTAAAAGTCAAACCCTCGATAGCCTTTGGCCGCCAGCCATATATAGACGACATGATAGGCGCCCGGTATAAAGCAAATGAGTCCAGCAACAAAAAATACAACACCCTGCGATGTATTGTGTGGATCGGCAATGGCAAAGGTGCCCATCACAAATAGCCCGGTGCCCACAACGAGGAGCGTGAACGCGGCCAAAACTGTGCGCCAATTCTCGCGCACCTTCGGATGCCGCCAGCAATATGTGTTCGTCTCCTCCGTGGGCAGATTGCCATATTCCTGTATCAGGGAGTCGCTGTCCCGCGACGTTGTGTCTTCGGCGTATTTGTTGTAGCCCCTGTTGAATAGATTAAGCAAAATAAATAAGTCGGAATTGAATTAAATTCAATTTGCTTATCAGTGAGGCGAACATTGCAACCTAAGAGTACAGTGAATGTTGCCTGTAACGTATTTCTTGTTTAGAAAGCCAGAGTTTTTACATTCCAATCATATTTTATATTTATTTTAACAGTGTGTACTTTGTTGAACGGACGCTCTTTGCTATCCAATTGAAAGACATTACACCTAAGAATACAGTGAAAGCTGCCTATAACGAATGTTTCGTTTAGAACACCAGAGTTCTTATATTCCAATAATTTTTTATATATATTTTTTAACAGTATCAACTTTGTTAAGCGGACGCTCTCTGTTCTTTTAACAGTGTGTACTTTATAAAACGGACGCTCTTTGTTTTTTTTTTTAACAATATGTACTTTATAAAGTGGACGCTCTTTGCCATTAAGAATGATCTATGATAAGATTTACGAGTCTCATTAATCATTTCAACATCGGATAACTATATCATATATCTTTACAGTTCTCATGCCTATAAATTCTTATCAGAAAAGCCGTCTATTAAAGCACTTCTAAGCCTTATTTCGACAAGGGTATTTAATCTTCGGCGTGTTGTTTCTTTACCAAGTACTTGATAAGCATTTTTTTTCTTGTGTTATTTTAGTTATTTTTGTCGACCAACTTTTAAGGATAAGAGGAACGGCAACCTTGGTGGTTCGCTCAATGGAGCATTCACTGTGCCTGTATGTGTTTATTACTCAATTACAATGAAGCCGCACAAGTGCAGCCCGCTGCGGCCGCAACCGAAGGCCAAACGTGTAACTCGGTGTTGGATGTCGTGCAAAAAGAAAAAAAAAAAGAAAAATATGGAAAAAATTCTTCAAGGAATGACGAAATTTATGCGCAATGATTTATACAATTGAATGCCAAATTGGGCTGGATGCATGTGCGAGGCGCTGGACAGACAGATTCCGACGGCGACGACGACGACGTCTGCTCAAATCGCCATAATTACGTAGTTGTTGCCGTTGTGCCTTGAGGCGAGACATGCATGCATAATGGCATCCAATGGAATGGTAAATAGAGAAGAGCGCCAACAAATAGTAAATATTATATGAATGAATGAAGCACGCACGCGCTTTTGGCATCTACTATATAAACTCATACACACACACACACACACACACACACACACGATGAAATTTATGGAAATCTGCGTCTATCGTTTCCGGCAAGGAAGCGGAAAGTTACACGCGGCATCCACAAAAGGTAAAGGTAGAGCTTTATAGACCTGGCCAACCAGCTGGAATGCCTCGCAGCGGGCACAAGTGGCGCATCGCATTGCATTTGCAATTGTTATATGATGATTGCATGTTTATATTAAGCCGGTTTTCGTTAAAGTAAGGTTTTCATTCTGATTCTGAGTCAGCCTATGATGAAATTTGGTCGGGGAAGCTAACCAAACCAGCTGGTTTAAGCCGGTTGACAATTGAGTTGGGTGAAGACATTCTTGAACAGAGAATGTTCATGTTCTTTGTAATAAAAGATATATCGACAAGTTCGTTCCAGGGAGCTTTCACTGTATTCCGAAACGGGCTGTAGGCCCTATTCAAGACAAAAAAAAACTGGTTCAAAAATTTTGGTTGGCACCATAAAAAATAAAACAATAATAAACAGTGCTGCCAGTTTTAGCTATTTTCCGGCCAGATTCAACTGTTTTCAGACGTCGCCCGATAATATAAGATAGAAATTTAAACATATTTAGCTTTGTTTTGGCGTCTCAAGCTAATTCAGCTTTTATATGGCTATTTTTGGCACTGAATTCAGCTACTTCTTTATGTGACACTTGCCAACACTGATAATAACTGGCCATATTCAGTTGTTTATGGCTGCTGCAAACGAAGCACCTCGCCCGCTTCCTTGTTCTGAATCACAGCTCCAAAATGGTGTCAACAACAGTCAAACAGCTGCTGCCCACGCGCAGACCCAGACACAAGAACCAGTACCAGTACCAGCACGAGTAGCAACTGGCCGGGCAGTTAACTCGTTTATTTAATTTGTTTGTGGCACTTACTTTGGATCCTGTATGCGTATGGATACATCTTCGGTGGAGCGACCTTGTTTGGCGCTGCCGCTTACGCCACCGCGCATTGGCGTCGATATCACTGTGGAGCCATAGACACGTATCGCCTCCTCTTCCTCCTCCTCGAATGCGTCGTGTATGGAGAAGCCCCGTGCAACGTTGTTGTACATACTGTTTGTTGTTGTTGTTTTTGTTAATAAATATAAGTAGGTTGCATACGCTTAGTTCACAATAATTGAGGACTCGAAAAGCGAGCGCTTAGTGCTGCGTCGCCTGCATTTTGCGCCACCTTGAAACGAATGTTATTAAGCTGTTTTTATTTTTGGTTGCTTCGTAACGATTTTCACAGTGTTTTTCTTAATATTTTACGCGACACAAAAGATAATGTTCAGGGAGGAGAAGAGTGGGTAGTCTAGTGATGCGCAAAACGCACATAAAGAAACTATCGTATCGCGCAGGCACGCATTTAAGCACGGAGCACGATGAATTCAATATTGATCGTATGTTGTATAATATATAAGCTGACCGTAAATAATCAACACTCTCATATAATTTTTTGGTAGTTATAATCTAAGCACTAGTTGTAAATATTAAATTTGTCATTGGACACTGAGTTGTTTTAGCAGTGCCTTACTCATCTCTAATTGTGCAACTATTGAGCGTGTCACGCACATCAGCAATAAATGTGCTGCCAGATAGTCCGCCATAATTATCTGGCAACTACACATTCTAGTGCTTTCAGTTGTCTGCAATTCGATGAAATTATATTTTTCTTATTTTTAATAATTGTGAAAATTGACTGATAAAATACAAAGAGATTAAATAAACGCCAAGATGTCGCGTCACAGGATAGTACGCGGAATGGACTACAACGACGAATACGATGGCTACGACGATGTTTATGGCCATTCCGTTGATGATGATTGCGTCTCGCCTACGGATCAGCAATGGCTATACGACCGGGCTCGTGGTCAACAGAGTATGTCGGCGTTTATAAAGAAGAACAAGAACATCGAGGAGGAGGCGGAGGATGACGATGAGGACGATGATGACGAGGCATACCAAAAGGCTCGCAGAGATTCGGAGAATTTCCAGATGCCGGAACTGGACGATATTGCGCAGGCCAAGCTCAGCTCCTGCGTGGACGAGGTGCGCAGCGTGGTGGGCGACGCAGTCTCCGAGCGCCGCATCGTGGAGACATCCATGCGTTTCGACTACGACATACAAAAGATTCTCGACGATATACTCAACGAGGAGACGAATAAAAAGGAGAAGGAGAAGCGTCCACAGAAGCTGAAACTAAACGTAACAACGCCAGCGACAAAGTCGAACACAACGCCCAAGCCGACGCCTACCAAAATAACGTTATCCGCCGTAAAGGATGCACGACGTGGCTTCGACATTGCCTCACCCAAAGCGCCCTCCTCACCAAATGTCTCCGGCCGGAATACGCCCGTCGAAGGCGGCGACGAGGCGGGACGCGGCTCTACAGCCATTTTCAAAGTGTCCAAGGATCAGGCACAACGCAACGCTCAGCAGCTGTACGAACAGGAGCGCGCGACGCAAAAGAGCCACATACACATGATTGTCATTGGGCACGTGGATGCCGGCAAGAGCACACTAATGGGCCACCTGCTCTACGACACGGGCAACGTTTCGCAGCGGGTGATGCACAAGCACGAGCAGGAGTCCAAGAAGCTGGGCAAGCAGAGCTTCATGTACGCCTGGGTGCTGGACGAGACTGGTGAGGAGCGTGCCCGCGGCATCACCATGGATGTGGGCCAGTCGCGCATCGAGACCAAAACCAAGATAGTCACGCTGCTGGATGCGCCCGGCCACAAAGACTTTATACCCAACATGATATCGGGCGCCACGCAAGCGGACGTGGCGCTGCTTGTTGTGGATGCGACGCGTGGCGAGTTCGAGTCCGGCTTTGAGCTGGGCGGACAGACACGTGAGCATGCGATACTCGTGCGCTCGCTGGGCGTTAATCAGCTGGGCGTGGTCATCAACAAGCTGGACACGGTGGGCTGGTCCAAGGAGCGTTTCCAGGAGATTGTGCACAAACTGAAATCGTTTCTGAAACAGGCTGGTTTCAAGGAATCTGATGTCAGTTTCACGCCCTGCTCGGGCCTAACGGGCGAGAATCTCACGAAAGCCGCCCAGGAGCCCGCCCTAAAAGCCTGGTATGAGGGACCAAATCTTCTGGAGGTCATTGAACATTTCAAGGTGCCCGAACGTGCCATTGACCGGCCGCTGCGCATGTCCGTCTCGGACATATACAAGGGCACCGGCTCCGGTTTTTGCATTTCGGGTCGCATCGAGACGGGCGCCCTTTGTGTCAACGACAAGGTGCTGGTGGGCGCTAGCCGGGAACAGGCGCAGGTCAAATCGCTCAGCATGGACGAGCTAACGCAGACGAGCGTCTTTGCCGGCGACCAGGTCTCTGTCACACTGGCCGGCATCGATGTCAACAACATAACGGTGGGCTGCATCATATGTGATCCACAAATGCCAATCCCAGTGACGACACGCTTCCAGTGCCGCATCATCGTCTTCAATGTGAAGGTGCCCATTACGATGGGCTATCCGGTGCTGCTGCATCATCAGTCGCTAATTGAGCCGGCCGTTGTCTGCAAGCTGACCGCATCCATACACAAGAGCACCGGCGAAGTGGTCAAGAAGAAGCCGCGTTGTCTGGGCCAAAACTCGTGCGCCCTGGTCGAGGTGGAGACCTCGCGTCCGATTTGCATTGAACGCTACTCGGACTTCAAGGAGCTGGGACGTATTATGCTGCGTGTGGCAGGCGTTACGATTGCCGCCGGCATGGTCACTAAAATTCGCTAAGAGTTCGCGCTAATATTTTTATTTTTTACGAAATTTTAGTTAGTTTTTTAGTTTCGTTTTTTGTAAATAAAAGCTAGGTTGATAAAGCGCCACTGGCTGATAAGCCCTAATTATCTTTATTATTTCGCAAACTTGCATTTCCTATTGGGTACTTCTACATCAAATATAAACTAAGGTATTTATTGTTTTCCACGTCGTAAACTGTGCGATATAGGTTTTTAAAAATCATATAAACATTAAATGGTATTAAAATTCGTTAATGTTGCCAGTCTTGGGAACATTTATCGATTGATATTGCCACTTGCGGTGTTATCGAGCTATCGCCACGAATGATATAGCGCTAGGTGTGGCAGCACTGAAAATGAATCAGCGTGTGAGCGAGCTAGATAGCACAAGCGCCTAAGCCGAAAAATAGTTATCTGTTTGCCTTAGAATTAAATATCTCGTTATCAATAAAAAGAAATTGCACATTTTGCGAGTTGTGTCACATTATCTTGTACACGCATATATACATAGACGGACACTAGATAGCAAAGCGTGTGTGAAATTTGCACAGACAGCAACAACAGTTTTTTGTGCGCAGCAAACAAGGTAAAACTCCGAATAGAGTTGCCGTGTGCGTGACATGCGGGTGCTGCTGCTGGCCCCAACCCCCTACCCCATAATAAAGTTTTTGTGTGTTTAAATACGCTAAAGTATATTCAGCACATTTTGTGCGCACTTGTCAGCCATTGCTGGAATTATAAGTGTTTTTCATTGAACAAAGAACAATTTTGATTTGCATGCTACAAGTGTGTGCATTGTTTGTTGGGCGCTCAACAGTGCCATCTCGCCGCTACTCGACAACTCTAAAAATGAATCATAAAAATGTTGAGGGTAGAGCGCAATTGTGCTGAGTGAGCGAGGAGAACATTTTGAGTTCATTACAAAAAAAAAAAAAGAAAAAAATAAAATTAAAAAAAAAAAAAACGAAATAAAGAGTGCAGTAAATTCCTACAAGCAGTGCCAGCTCAGGCACCAGCATACCAAAACTAAAATACAAATTTAAAAAAAAGACCACAAAACCAAAATCGAATTTACAGTGAAACCTATATTTAAAAATACAAACTATTGCTTTCTTACATTCCACAGTGCACACTGAGTACTCAGCAAACATTGTTGCACAGCAACAGCAACGGCAACGGCAAGCGCAGAGATAGCAATTGGTGCTGTAAAACGGAAGTTGTTGTCGTAGTTAACGTCGCGGGCAGAGGCGGCAGAGGCTAGTGCTACAGTAATTGTATATATATATATATATATATATATATATATATATATATTGTCGCTGCTCCCCCAGCACCGCTCAAAAGCAACAATTTGACGACAACCGAAAAAAACGAAACGCACGCTCGCATCTTTGCTACCTGAGCGGAGTCCGACGCAGGGAGAGAGCGAGAGAGAGAGAGAGAGAGAGAGAGAGAGAGAGAGAGAGAGAGAGAGAGAGAAAGACCACAAACAGACACACACACGCAGATACGAGTTGTTTGTTGGCACAAAGGTTATCAGCAATAACAAAGAACAACAACAAAAGCTTTCTGCAAGAACTGCAACTGCAACCCAAAAGCAATCGCCGAACAACGCCTAAAACTAGTGATTTTTTTTTCTGCTGCTGTTAAGAGAGCGCAAGAGAGCGAGAACGCGTTCGCGTTTTAAATAAACATTTGCAACAAGAACAACAACAACAACAACAATAACAAGAGCAGCAGCAGCAACAACTGAACCACCTCGTCACCCCGCCTACGCCAGTAACTGACAGCGCCTGGTTTTAAATAAGCCCCCCCCTCCACGCCCGCACACCAGCATACACATATATAAATAGTTCGACACACACACACACACACGCACACATACCATACACATACATATATAAGATGCGTGAATACAAAATTGTTGTTTTGGGCAGCGGCGGCGTCGGCAAATCCGCTCTAACTGTACAATTTGTGCAATGCATTTTTGTGGAAAAATATGATCCCACCATTGAGGACAGCTATCGCAAACAGGTGGAGGTGGACGGGCAGCAGTGTATGCTGGAAATATTGGATACCGCCGGCACGGAACAGTTTACAGCCATGCGAGATCTCTATATGAAGAATGGCCAAGGCTTTGTGCTTGTCTATTCGATAACGGCGCAATCCACGTTCAATGATCTGCAGGATCTGCGAGAGCAAATATTGCGCGTCAAGGATACGGACGATGTGCCCATGGTGCTGGTTGGCAATAAATGCGATCTCGAGGAGGAGCGCGTCGTTGGCAAGGATCTGGGCAAGAGTTTGGCCAATCAATTCAATTGCGCGTTCATGGAGACCTCAGCCAAAGCCAAAGTGAATGTGAATGATATTTTCTACGATTTGGTCCGGCAGATCAACAAGAAGTCACCCGAAAAGAAACAAAAGAAACCGAAAAAGTCCCTATGTGTTCTGCTATAAGACTTCCAAAAAAATACAAAAAAAAAAAAACCAAGAAAACAAAACAAAAAAAAAAAAACGAAGGAAAGCATACAAAACCCCGAAAAGTTAAGATTGTCAAAATTGCAATAACCAAGCTACAATATATACAAAAAACATTAAACAAAAAAAAATAATAATAATTAAAAAAAAATTTAAAAATAAAAACACATTTAACTGACAATGTTTTTAACTGTGCAAAGTTCTTTGTAATTATTACTACATACTATTACTACTACTACTATTATTATTATTACTATGCAATTTTTGCTGATTAACAATTAATTATTATAAACAAGAAATTATATTTGTCGTTCGTTTTTTTTTAATATTATTTTTTTTAAATTATGCAACCAAAATTCAAAGCAAACATTCGTAACTAAAACATTCGTATTTATTTTGTTTTTATTTCATAATTGAATTCCCTTTCGATTTATACAAACATAACATACACACAATAAATATATACAACAAATTTATCGTATACATATACACATAGAAGATCCATAAATAAACAAAAAAACATAAACAAATGTCGTTGCTCTTCAAAAAACAATAACAACTTTAAAATGAAAATCAAATTAAGCTAAACCTAAATCTAAATTCAATTGTATGCCTATAAAAAATCACTTGATAGAAACCAAGAAAAAAACAAGAAACAAAAAAAAAATCACATATTTTATAAAAATATTGTATGCAAGATGAGATGTCAAAATGTTGCAAACAACAAACAGAAAATCCATTTTTAGTAATTAGTTTAAAACAAATTTACAAATAATTGTTTAAAAATGATCAATTTCTGTGTAAGTAACATTAACAAACAAACAAACAAACTAAATTCAAAAACAAACAATTGCACACATACATATAAACACGCACACACCCATACATCCATACAGCCATACACTCACACACACACACCAAGACACTCCGGCATGCTCAGAGAGCATGCAACATTTAAATTTAAACAATAAAGAAGTCATTCAGTAGTGTTAAATGCAAAGTTGCAAAGTTTTTCGATTTGCGCAACAATTTCAAATCCTGTTATATTTAACGATTACAACAAATCCCAACAAAACATGAGATTCGTCTGTGTCAATCCCAAAACGAAGTACATTTATATAACAACAAGAAGAAATTTAAATATACACAATTTATAATAGCTGTAACAGGCAAAACGTAACCAATATGCCCTTAAATCAAAGTCAAAAGAGAACATATACACACACACACACACATAAGAGAATCCAACGTGTAACCATAATGAATGTATTATGTTTATAAAAAATAATAAGAAAAAAAAAACAAACAAAAAAATTTAAAAGCAAAAACAAAATAAAAATTAAATAAATTCATGTAAGAAATGAGAAGTTTTCGTGTATTCTTCAAACGGTTTTGCCATTTTGCTTTGTGCTGCGCATTCGCAAACGTTTCACAGGCTTGAGTTGCATTGGCCCGCCAGGAATAATACGAATACGTGCATGGAATTTTCAAATATTTTTGCTGTATTTTATACTTGGAATATGAATATAATAGTATTTCAAATATGGTTTATAATACAAGTACAAGTACAATTACAATTACAATCAAATAGTTGCATATGTTTGCATAGCCACCAAAACTATGGATGGTATATGTCCATATATATGTGTATATATATATATTATGCTGTATCTGTAATATCAACAGTTTGATATGGACATTTATTTCTTGCTGCTGTCTCAATGTAGCATGACAATAGAAGCCAACTAAGCGCAGGCGATTATTATGCGTACTTTTAAAAACTCTGAGTGGGTGGGGAAAGTTGGGAGGTTTTTCATTTTTTTGGATAGCACAAATACATATTTTTGCTGTACATAAATTGAGTTTCGTTTTGTTTATGACTAGTTTTGAGTTTGAGCAAGTGCTCTAGATGTACACATATTTTATATTTTCTGCGATGCTCTTCAATTACTAATTAACGCATTTCGAATCAGTCCAACTATAAAATGTTCTCCATAAGAACTGCCATTTTACAAATTATCAATAAAACTTAATTAACGCTAATTTGGCAACAACGAAAAAATCAAATAATAAAAATCTATAAACAAGTATAATAGTATACATTTATAATAGTCAAAAACAAATATACACATGAGATATTGCACTGGGGTTTGTTTGTGTGTTGTGTTTTGTGTCTTGGGATTGGAAAATTGCACTTTTGGTTATTACACGACATTTAAAACTAGAAATATACATAATACATGTATCGTCTGTTTGCGAGATTTCAGATTTCAATAGATTTCCATTTGAGATTACTACGTGAAACGGGTTTAGTTAAGGGGCTTAGTCGGGCTAGTTGGACTTATGCCTGAAGGTAAACACATGGCCTTGACGTACGTTTATGGCCAGATGAGATAATATATGATAAGAATAAGGATAAGATAACAAACAATGGGTACTCTAGTGTCTAAGCATCTGGTTTCCAGATCTGGCCTTTACTTGCGCAACTGCAATTGACCCTGCTGCTGTTGCTGCACCTGGCTCTGTTGTTGTTGTGTCGACTGTTGCTGCTGGTGCTGGGTCTGCTGTTGCTGCTGCTGCTGCTGTTGATGATGATGATGATGGTGATGATCCT